CATTTTAAAGTGGTCCTATCTCATGATTTTCCCAAAGAAAACCAGGCTTGTGTGTGTCACAGACACATTATATGAAAACTGGAAATTCTGCCTTACAATAGTGATTTATTTAATTTTCTAATTGAGGTTCAAATCATCCCGCAACCACTTAATAATCTTACATAGCACCACGAAAGGAGAATACAAACTCTAAAATCTCAGTTACAATCCTAATTTCATATCTAATTGGGATGATTTCCATCTAATCTAATTGCAAATAAAATCAATAAACCAGGATACTAAAAAAACAAAAGGAAAAACGTAACATCTTCTCCTTCTTTCTCATTCTTATAGAAGCAAAAACCTTCTTGTATTGACTCATGGTTTAGGATGTGCTTGACATTGATATTCAATCTCTTGGTGACGATGTCAACGAAAATAGAGCATTTGAACTTTGAAAAATTAATGTTGCAAATGCTTCAAGTGTGTTTTTAACTTATAAATGTTTCAAGTGCTCTTTTTTAAAAAAAAATGCTTTAAGTATGTCATTAAGAAACGCCTTAAGTTAACACGTACCTATAACACTTGAAATAAACGAAGGAAGATATTCAAAATAATGGGTGTTAAACAGTCAGAAAAAAAAATGCCAAAAAATATACTCATTTTTGGCCGTTAATGGAATTGCGATAACTATGACAATTTTATCAGATCGCCAAAAAAATTTGTAAATTTTGTAATACCAGTGTAACTTTTACTAAGTGTTACACTGTTTAATAATTTTATATTAAATGTAAATTTTGTAAATTCAACCGTTAAATTAAAAATTCTTTATTCTTAATTCATATAAACAAAATTTTATATTAATCCAAGGTGATTTGATACTTCATTCTTATAAAACAAAATTGACGTAATATATTCATTTCAAAATATACTAAAATATGAGGAGAGTTATAATTAATAACACCGGTATAACTTGTATTAAGTGTTACACCGTTCAATAACTTTATATTTAATGTGAATTTTGTAAATCTAACCGTTAGATTAAAAGTTCATATCTCTTATATCATATATACAAAATTTTATATTAATCTAATATTATTTGATATTTCATTCTTATAAAACAAAATTGACGTAATATATTCATTTCAAAATATACTAAAATATGAATACTTTGATTACCTTCAAGTTGTTGTTCAATTTTAACAAAATTTGATATACACATATAAAATGATATGAACTTTCAATCAAACGGTTGAATTTACAAAATTCACATTTAATATAAAGTTATTGAGCAGTGTAACACTTAATATAAGTTATACCGGTGTTAAAATTTGATTGATCTTTTTTAATATATGATTGTTAATTTTTGTAAAAAATTCTTATATTTTCGACAAATATAAATTTGTTGAAAATATTCCATCAATAATATAACTCTTTCTACAATTTTTTTCATTGAAAATATAAATTTTTCGACGGATAAATCCGTCAAAAATTACTGACAGATATATCCGTCAGAAATATAAATTCCAACAAATTTATATCTATCGAAAATTATCCGTCGGAAAAATAAATTTTCTGACGGATTTGTATCCATTGAAAATTACCAATGGATATATCTGTCGGAAATATAAATTTTCTTACAGATTTGTATCCGTCAAAAAATTTAAATTTAAATTTCTGACGGATTTGCATCTGTCGGTAATTTGTATTTTTCTTGTAGTGACATTAGTTGTGGGATGACCATATTACTAATGAGTTTTTGGAGCAGGTGAAAGAGAAACAATTGTAGGACTTAGAATTATTAAATTTCATAAGGTTATTAGGAATTCAGAAATTCGTGCAATTTGAGTAAAGTGGAGATGGGATCTTGATGTTTCAAGGCAAAATTTGTCTACCTCAAAATTTTAAGATGAGAAGAATCGTTCCGGAAGAAGGTCACAAAAATAGGCTTAGTCTGCACCCTAACATGACTAAGATGTACTAGGATCTTAAGAAGAGTTTTTGGTGGTCTGGTATAAAAAGAGAGGTAGTGGACACTACAACAAAATTTATTTTTACCGACAATTATTTACCGGCAATAAATTAATTGCCTTTGTTTTATTGTTTAATAAAAGTATTAGTGACTAATATATAATTGTCACTAAAAATATATTTATATCACACCAAAATTTACTATTAGTGTCAATTATTTATTAAGAAAAACTTTAGTCCCACATCGACTAGAAATAAGATAATTAAAGAGTATATAAATGAATAATAACTCTCACCTTACAAGTTTGTTATGTAGAATTGAGTTAGACCTATAACTTATTCTAAATTAGTATGAAATTACTCACTATTATCAAACTCAATAATCTTTAAACTTAAGGGAGTCGACTATTAATAAGAAAATTATATATATTATTTAGAAGACAACCTTCATCTTAAAGTCCCACATCAACTAGAAATAAGATAATTAAAAAGAATATATAAGTAGAAAGATAACTCTCATCTTACAAGTCTCACATCAACTAGAGATAAAGTAATTATTTATTTGTACTCATCTTACAAGTCCCACATCGATTAGAAAGTAAAAAATGTCACAAAAAGATATACACTTTTTTCGACCATTATAAGGATTTTTACCAGCATTTTGAATAATTGCCGCTAAATATTTTAGCGACACTGCATATAATGGCTAATGTGAAAATGCCGGTAAAAGATTTTGTAACAATTTTTATTACGACTAAAAATCATATTAAATATTACTAAAAATCTATTTTGTTGTAGTGGGAGTATGTGCATATACAAGTACATGTATAATATATATTTTTCCTTTCAAAGGGTTAAAGTCTCCATAGAAGTAGGATTTTTCTTATTCCATTGAAAACTAATAATTATTTTTTCTTCATGTAGGAATAATAGAGCTAAATTTGAGGGCGAAATCTCTTTAAGAAAAAGGAAATGATAAACGGATAGGAAGGCTAATTAAGGGAGGAATTAAAACTCAAGTTGGGGATTTCTTGCGAGACCTTGGAGATTCAAAGATAAAGGCTAAATCAATTATTTACATGAAGACTTTGAAAAGATAGCCAACAGGAAGAAAGTTACTAGGAAATTAGAAACAAAATTAGTTACTGAAAAAAACATTCGCTAACTAGAATTTTAGCTAAGCAAAAGTCCTTTGGTCGAATTTCCCTTTATGTTCCTATTAAAGTTTTGAACTTGTTACGGAAAACTCTTTCATTGAGCAAATTTTTCTTTCTATTTACTACATTTTTTTAATTTAGTATGGTAAAGCTATTTAACTTAGCAAAATCCATTGATTTGGCTAAGTGAACAAGTTTGGTTTAACGGAATTCTATCATCAAGTTACTTATGAATTTAAAATTTAGTTATGTAACTTAGCAAAATCCATTGATTTGGCTTAGCAAAATCCACTTGAGCAAAATCCATTGATTTGGCTAAGTGAACAAGTTTGGTTTAACGGAATTCTATCATCAAGTTACTGAATTTAAAATTTAGTTATGTGTAAGGGCTATTTTACTCCCATTTGAGCATGTTTAAACACCTTAATCTTAATTAAAACCTACGTAGAGGCTGGGAGTATAAATAGGCTCATTTAAGCTTTTGTAAACAACTTTTAAACTTTAAATTAATTGAGAATTAAGCATTAAAGCTTGTGAGAGAAGAATTTTGTGTTTCTTTTGAGTTTTTGGCTTGACCTACAAGTCTTATCAAGGTTTGCTTATATATTGTGGTAGATTCTCTTTGATTTTATTAATTCTTTCGAAATTGTGGCAATTCTCTCCATTTCTTCTTCTTCTCTCCCGTAATTATTTGATTTTCACTTTTTGAGTTCTTGATTGGTTTTCAATATTGATTTTTCGAAACAGTCAAATCTTGTGAATTTGAAAGCAAGAGTGTATCATCCATGCTTTTTCACTTAGCACCAATAGTGTAGAGAATAAGGTTTGCTCTCTAAAACTCTCACACTTAACATAAATCATGTCGTTCTTAGCATGCAAACATACAATTTATCATTACAATATAATTACAAATCAACCATGAAAACCTAATTTCACCAAAAAACCCTAAACACACAAATTCAAGAACACTTTAATCTAACAAGACAATCGGTAAGCACAAAAGGTAAAAGTTTTAAGGTTTTCACAATCTGTCCAAGGAAGTTAAATATATTAACGAGCCTAAATCTATGAAGTTGAAAGACACCCTACTAAAAGAGACATTTCATGAGCATGACCTCAAAGGAAGATCAATTATATAGTTTTGATGAAGACAAAGACTTAGAGCTTTAACAAGGATTCAATGAAGACAAACAAAGGATGAAAAATAATTATTTTATGTAAATTGTCTAAGTGTCTTGTATTATGTAAGTTTGCTCAATCCTAACTTAATTTGACTCATTATAGATAACACTTGAGATAATAGACATTTAACATTTTGATAAATAAATAATAAGTAGCTAAAAATGATATTATATAATAATAGATATTAAAAATGTAAGTTCTAAATTTTATAGGGATGAACAACAACAAAAAAGAATTATAAGAACCAAAATCAAAACTTTTTCATTTTATAGAAATTTTTACATAAACTAAAAATATATTTAAATTTTTTAATTTTATTTACCCAATATAAAAGAATAATGGTATGTAGATATCTCTGCATATTAGACATTCCTTCATATATGAATATTTATCTTTCTTGTAATCGTGTCGTATTATCTTTTTCATACTTACAATTCTCCCTAAAATTATCTCCATGGCTATATCTACTAGAATTTGATGTCGACCGATCATTTTCCTCCGTAAAAATGTCGAAAATTAATGTTTCACATCCAAAATACTGTTATGTGAGTCCAACATATTAGTGAATCATTTTTCTGTCAACATCTGTGCATTTTGTCAGGTTTAAATAAGAATGATTATTTTATTTTGTTCTACTTGAACCAGCTATCTTATAGTAAGATTTTTGCTATAAATAACGCGACAGCCAAAGCGTCATGCCACCATATATTTATCATACTTATCTAAACCTAAACTACCATCACTTCTCATCACTCTTTTCCAATGGCTCCAACCAAGTTACCAAAACTCCAACCAAGTGGTGTGGATGAAGCAATTGAAGAAGATGAGAAACTAAGCCAAGCCACCAAGGAGCTACTTCTCTCCCTTCCAAGAGAGAGAGGTTGGAGAACACCCTACGTGTATCTATTCCAAGGCTTTTGGTGCTCATCACGTCAAATCCAAGCCATAATCACTTTTCAAAAGCACTTCCAAGCCAAGGATAGTGATGTCCTTGTGGCCACTGTGCCAAAATCAGGCACCACATGGTTGAAGGCCCTAACTTTTGCCACTATGAACCGCCACCACTTCTCTTGTTTCACCAAGAACCACCCTCTTCTCACTTCCAACCCCCATGACCTTGTCCCCTTTTTCGAGTTCACAGTTTATGCTAACCATGATGACAAGGTTCCTGATCTATCCAACATGCATGAGCCAAGAATTTTTGGCACCCATGTTCCATTTGCTTCGTTGCCTAGTTCAATCAAAGAGTCCAATTGCAAGGTGATCTACATATGTAGAAACCCTTTTGACACTTTTGTCTCTTTTTGGATTTTTGCCGACAAAACCAAGCCAGGGTCATTGCCCACATTGCCACTAGAGGAGGCTTTTGAAATGTATTGCAAAGGGGTGTCTGTTTTTGGCCCATTTTGGACTCACATGCTTGGCTATTGGAAGGAGAGCGTAGAGAGTCCAAACAAAGTTCTCTTCTTGATGTATGAGGATCTCATAGAAGATGTCAATTTTCACCTCAAAAGGGTGGCTGAATTCTTGGGTTGTCCTTTCACATTGGAGGAAGAAAGCAGTGGTGTGATTGAGGGCATAACCAAGTTGTGTAGCTTTGAGAAAATGAAGGAGTTGGAGGTAAACAAGCATGGGACATGTGCCACGACCGTTGAAAATAAGTATTATTTCAGGAAGGGTGAAGTAGGAGATTGGGTTAATTATCTCTCTCCTTCAATGGCAGAGAAATTAACCAAAGTCATAGAAGAGAAGTTAGGTGGGTCTGGTTTGTCATTTAGAATGAACTCTTAGTACAAGCTGCTAGTGGTGCATGTTGTGGTGGATGTTGAATATGAGTATTTGCTTGAATAAGCTTTTCCTGCTAATGGTGTATGTTAGTGGTGCATGTTGAAAACATAAGAGTATATATGTTGGCCTATCATGAAAATCAATAATAGCCTCAAATTCAAGATAAAGATGTGGATATTTATCTTTCAGGCATTGTTATCTTCTTTAAGATAAGAGCAACTGAACATTTATTTAGATATCCGAACAAATTTTAAAATGAGATTCTTTTAAATTAATAAAAATAATTTATTAAGATTGTTATAATTTTATTTAAAGTTTATTTTGTTAACTTTTTAAAATACAAAGTTATTTATCAAATTAAAATAATAAATTTTGTTTAATATTCTTTTCAATCCTATTTGCATAGCAAGTTGCCAGCTCTTCACCTTATATAAAACATAGGAGATAAGAAAATGAAATTGTATACAACAAGAAAAAATAAATAAAAAGAAAGCTATAAGAATGACATTAATTGGTGAAAATAAATAAAGGCTAAATGAAAGGTTTAGAGAAAAAAGAGAAAGTGTTGATAAGTAGGATAAGGTTTTTTTTTAAGAAAATATTACGTATTTGTTTATAATATTCTAATGCATGATTTACCAAATAATTAATATATTTTAAATTTCTTTAAAATATTATTAATAAAAATATATATTTTTTGTGAAGAAGAAGGGGTGACAATGGATAGAATTTAGGTAGATAGTATATAATACCCATTTTCATACCAAAATTTAAATTAAAAAAAAAAAAACTAAAATAACAACAACAACAACACAAGCCTTATACATGTTTCATATTCGTATTCACACCCATTACCTACTTCCTAAGTCTACGAAGTGAAGAAAAAAAACATAAAAGTTTAAAATGAAATTTATATTTTATTAGTTTAATACAATTTATCAAATTTCATTTTATTTTTTATTAAGACATTATTGATCAAAGGTATATAATGAAGTATTTCTAACATTTCATTATCAACATATAAAATAAAAACTTTATTTAAAATCTATCATTTGACATAGTTAAAATTAAATAAAATTTGAATAATTTTAATTATTAAAAATTATGTTAAGTAATAACAATATGTACAAGTACTGTCAATTACGTTTACGAAAGCGATACATGTATTTAAAAATGAAAATAACTTTTTTATATAATTCATTATTTTTCTAGTATACTATGCATTATTTTTAAATTTAACTTATACAGAACGTCAATATAAAAGTTGTTCATATTTTATAGAATTCGATTTTCATATATATCTTGTTCATTACACGTCAATATAAAACTATTTGCATAACAAGTTCCAAGCTCTTCACCTCATATAGAACGTAAATATAAAAAGTAAAACACATACTAATAGACAAATTATATGCATTATAAAAAAATTTCAAAATAATCTTATGTCATAATACGAGCTACTTAAAGTAGCATTGACATCAACAAAAATTCACATCATTTATCAGTAACAATTCCTCAAGCATGAACATAATCTACTTTATACAATATATGATTACTGTAATCCAAATCAACATAGTAACAAAATGGTAAGTTAAAGTTCAAAAAATATGTAAGTATAGAAAATCATTACAAGAAATTTGTCATTTTGCGGCAATTTTTTTTTCATATTGCGGCGGTTTTCGCCTCTCTCAAAATAAGTGATGGCGTTTTATAAAAACGCTGCAGTTACGTTCGCCACTAGCATTATACGGCGATTTTTACCAATCTCCGCTACCTTTTCCATTCTGCAGCGTTTTGTTTAGCAGGGGTTTTTGACCTCCTCAATTTGAATGATGTTTTTTTTTTTAATTTCACAATATATTTTATTTTTTTAAGGAGGTACTCATAACATAATCCAAATTCCATTGGATAATATTAACTTTTTTATAAGAAAAAAAAGAAATTAATGGGAATACAAACTATCAATAAACGTACCCATAATATAGACAACAAGATGTCAAATAAAAAAGACAATAACAACATAAAAGACAACGGTAATCAAATATTTGATATCTGTGACAACAAGACCACATTGAGTGGACAATTTAAATTCAAATTTCTGCTCCATCCATAATAGTAATGGACAATGGATTGATAGTAATGAAAGTTACATAACTACAAAAGAGTAAACAATCAAAGCTAATTCAGAAGTCCAAGTTGACAACAAATACAACACCACAATATATAACCAAAAGAAATTAAGTTTTTACAACACTTTATAAATTCAACATTTCAAAAACCATGATAACCTAAAGCAGTCTACAATATAAGAAACTAGGTCTAAATATTAGACTGGCTATTCAAGTTGCTACCACCAGATGATCCTCTTCTAACGCCGATTCAGGTTCACTTCCAACGTCACTAGGCTGAAATAAGAAAAATAAATTAGTATCAGTACAATTTAGAGATAAAGGAAGTGTAATTTGGTCCTAATATATAATTCCATAATTCAAGTGCAATCTCCAAGATCAAACTAATAAGTATCTTAAGAAATAAAATTGAATAAAATTGTCACTTCTATATGGTGTTGAAGCAACAAATAAGAGAAAGAAAAAACAAGTAACCTAAGCCTATGCAATCACATCCAATATTACATTCAATCACCAAATAATAAGTCATAATACTTACCTGTGAAAGAAAGAAACTAGCCAATTCGTCAGGAATTTTTCCTTCCTTCATTATCATATAGGCCTTAAGCGCATTCAAGGTTCCTTGTAGTTGGGATTCCAAAAGATTGAACTTTTGTTTGCACTGGTTAGAACATGATGATGATGAAGCAACATTGGAATGAAGAAAGGCTCAAATCACTAATTCGAAGTCTAGTATTACGAAATGTATTAGTAGGAGCTGCCCCCATACCCAAGCATCTCACTCTCCCAGAGTGTTCTGGCCCAAACGCTCTACCAACAACATCATTATGAGAAATTTCAGATTCATCTGTAGTGCTTTGGGTCAGACCAACTTCAATTTGTTCCTTTAATATGCATGCAAATCAATAACAAAGTTAAGAATATTGAAATGTGGAATTTGTGAAAACAACAAACAAAGAGAAAAATAGAGAATTCATTACTGAAATCACTCTTCGCAGTTTTAACTTTTTATAAAATAGTAAAATACATGACAAAATGTTACCTGAGCTGTGAATTCATGGAGCTCTCTCATCCTCTAGCTCAACAAATATTCCCACAGAAAACATGTTAACCTGTTGAAATTAGCCCAAAGAAACAAATACCTCGTGAAATCTAGAGTCTTCTGGATTGGAAATATAAGGCAACAGTAAATACTATCATCAAACCTTTATTAAAAGAAAAAAAATTTAAAAAATAAATAGAAGACTAGCATCTTATTCGTGTAACCAGGACACAAAGTCAATACTATAGGCTATAGCAATGGATTGATTGAGTTGTGAAGTTAGTCACCAATCGAAGTCAGGCAAATAACTTAGAAAACGCAATTCCGGAAAAATAAACAGAATACGAAGACTAGTATCTTATTCGTGTAACCTTCATACATGATACGAGCACATTGAACATCGATTGAACCAGCGACGCGATGAAATCAGATTAATTTAAGTCAATTCTTCATGACAAAGGAAACCGGATCCAGCATGCGGAATAAAGTGCGAAAGACGTGGAATGAGAGATCCGAAATGAAAACCTAATGGAAAAGAGAAAGAGAAAATGGTACCTGAGGAAGAAGGAAGGGGATTTTGAGGGCGAGAGAGAAGAGAGGGTTGAAGCACGAAATGGTTGATGGATGCGAAACTCAGTGAGCGAAAGAGTGATTGAAGGAGGGATTGGGTGAAAAAAATTGGGGAAAAGTAAAAGAGGGAAAATGGTGAAATTTTTTCCGCGAAAAATTGTATATGAATTTAGGAGGGCATAAACCTCCTCAAAAAAATATAGAAACCGCCAATATATTTAGAATTTTAAGCGTTTCTCAAAAATTCCGCAAGTCATGTTAATTTGAGTAGGTTTTTAAAACCCCCGTAAAATAACCCCCACTAAATAGCATTTTTTTTGTAGTGAATATTCTATAACATACAACATCAAACCAAAAACACATATGAAAGTCAAATACTCTCAAGTCAACATATATTTCATCCAAATCATGTTGAACAAGATATCCAATAATGCATTTGAACGCACTACACCATACATCATATGTATACACCTCAAATAATGCGTCATCAAGCATTCAACTACGGAGATCTCCTAACAACATGAGTAGTCTAAATGACTGCACCTTACCAAAATACCCAATTTTTTTCGCACCCAAACACTGGCTCGATCACAGCAAAATAGGATAACAATCCCTCCTCTGGTTTCTCAAATTTCGTCACTTAAACTATTAAACTTCGATTCCACTATTAGAAGTTGTACAATTGAGTATAGGTGTTCCACAATCTTGGCATGCATTACCAAGTCACCTGTGAAGTTAATCCATTGGTCATCCTTAAGGAACCAGACAATCTTTCCAGGTACTTGGTTAAAGGTTATAGCCTTCCACCTCCTACCTTACTCAACCACTAAATAAGGACCTAAAGGAGACATGAACACACCTCAAAACCCATTCCAAGAGACACACCTACTTAAGAAGGGTTTTCCAATATATGAGCACTACTCCAAGATTTCCTATGTGAGATTTTCAATTTTCAAAATCAATTTTCTCTCCTTAATTCCCAAGTTAGCCAACATGCCTTAGTGTTATACTCCATTTTCATCATCCACACTTCACCATACATCATCTATATACATCACATATGGTCCATATATAAATATCAACAACATCATACATATATACAACATACGCATATGCTCATCATCATCCAACACCATACAAGCATCTACATATGTCATATCCAATCAACATACATAGAACTATAGTCTTTATATTTCATACAACATGTGATATAAATCATACATCTACTCATGTTCACCAATTTCACTGGTTCTACAACATGTATCAACATACAATTTATCGAAAATCAAATATCGTACAATGACAACTTTTGCATGTAATTCACCCTTCCAAGAAATCCCCTAACCTCTTTTTCTATCCTTGGGGGAGACATTTCTATTATGGCATTGGCTTTGTCTAGATCCACTTCTATTCCTTTTTCACTGAC